AATTGATGATATAATTAATTCAATGTCTGATGAAAGAATAAAAAGTATTTCTGGTGTGATCTGGTTTCGTCTGTTTAATATTGGATAATGAACCCAATCGAATTTTGTTTGGATAAACGTAAATTACAGTTGTTTTTTTATTCACTTACCACACATGGACATATTCGTCTCGATGAAAGTTAAATAAAAATGAACAAGGGTAGATTCACAATCACTCATTATTACACTGAAATAAATTTCTGTGATAATTGAATCATAGTAAGAATTAGTAGTGAAATAATTAGATCTATATAAGGCACAAAAACAAGAACTGTAGAAGAAGCATCAATCGGATATATCAACAGAATAATCTGTTATGAGAATTTACCACAAACAAATAAAAATGTTAATCAAATACTTGAGGTGTACAATAACTAAAACATTTATTCACTGCATTTTAATTTTATATTGAATAATGTCACATTTTGAATCAAGTATTATAATTGTCAAACTTATCACTGAATAATTAATAATATGTCGTATACAATTTACTAGTTGTGACAGTTAAAATATGCCTAATCCATTCCATGACAAGTGACCTACTCTATATCATTGTTAATAATGTGCAAATCATTATTTCAACACCATTGAACAAATCATTTGCTAGACTGTTCAATATTCACATTAAACAGAACAGTCACGTAGTTAATAGCTATCTGGATTAATCTTAGAGTAATATTGTTTAACTGCTACACTGAACAACATTATTCATAACACATTTCAATTAATTACGAAAAGTTTAAAGGCATATGAAAAAAAAACTAAGACGCGTTCAGTTTCAAAGTTAACAGTCGTACGGTTTACTCTGTAAGAAATAAAAAATGAACGATAGTGTCCAGTCTTATACTTAAATCGAATAGTCATACCGCGTTACTGTTACGAGGGTACAATTATGTTATTCAGTAATTTAGTTATATTGATTAGTTAAAGCAGATAATTCATTTATACTGTAAAATGTGTACACACACATTCAATTATTGATTAATGCAATGTAACTTACCGCCAGTCCAATGATTTCAGATTTGATTTTTGACTGGATATTTGAATGACATACACTTCATAGTAACTTTAGATATTGTTTTGATCAGTAGTGGATTTGTGTTTGGCGTACAATAGACACTTAATCATCGGTCTTACCTTTCTTCCTTTAAATCAAGCAATATCAGTGTTTGCTCCATTATGCATTAACAAGTAAACAATCGTGTCCGCAGTTTAGAACACGTAGCAGAACCAGTATTCTGTCAAGTCATTACAGTTACTCAATGTTGAACGGTTTTTCAGCCATCGATTATTTGTTCAACAAACAGATATTAATAAAATATCAAGATCACAAGCTGATATAAAAATATTGTCTTATTCACACAGTATTGTCTGAACGCATTTTATTGAATTCTCTTTGGTATTCTATACAAAATGACAATATTGATCAAGCTGGAATCTTTTCTGGAAAACACTTCTTTCAGTACATATGTTTAGGTAAATTTAAAATTTTTATCAATGTCTACTGTGAATTTGTAGTGTTCTAATTAAAGTTGAGTGTGTTTAAAACAGTATTCAAATTTATTTGTACGAGTCCACATTTCCACGTTGTTAATTTTGATCTGTCTCACAATTAGTTATTGACACTGTAGTGGACGGTGCTATGTCAGGCCCACATTGGCTATTCTAGCTTCTGGACAGATCAATTTATTCATTCTACTCGAGCTGCACTTTGACCTTGTCACTTGTCCGCTTATTAACCTGATTGTTTTTATATGATCGTATGTGCGTGTATTGCTTACCCTACTTATCACATATCTGTAGTTTATTTTTGTCTGAATATAAATATTGATTAACGCTTGACTAAATTGAGTTGACTCACTTACTTTCCCCTCTGCGCGTCATTTCCTTCCGCTTCGCTTCCTTTATCTGATCGTCTGTCGGGATAAACGTGTGGTGGACCAAACAGTATATTAACCAAAAAGGAATAGTAATAAAGTTATTACGTCCAGAAGTTAATATAACAATAAACAACTTATAAATCATTAACGCAAAATAAAGGTTCAGGGACGTTGCTTAAATCAGCTGGCTGTTTGCGTATTCCACTGTGCTTGGTACCAAAGATCCACAATTATAGATAATTAATAATTTCAATGAGGTAAATATGGCTCCAGCCAGTTTTCTCGACGTAGAATGCAATAGGAATGTCACAACAGTCTATAAATATAGTTGATAGTTAATAAATAGTTTAGTTATTATATCCACAGGGATGATAGAACGAGGCATGTGTGTATAAGAGTGTATTTATTAATGCATAGTTAACAATGTAGTCCTATGTGTAATTCAAAACGGAAGTAATTATCAAGGTCACATACTCAAACAACAAGTACAATCGTTTAGTGATAAATGTACAGATTGTGGAAATAAACAAAATAAATGCGAAAGCTATCAAAAACTATTTACGAAACAGGTTTATTAGGCCTATCTCCACAAACGAATGCCAGAAGTAAATTCCTACAACGCCACCTGTATTTGGTTTCTTATTACTGCCGTCATACAAACGGGGTTAGTCTAGGTAATATACAAAGTTAAATGGAAGATTTATATTTATAGTATATTCATACATTCATCCAAATTGGGATCAGATCAGTTGACACCATAACATCAGACATATAAAGTCTTATAAATAAATTCATACGCATTGAACAAGTTGGTGATCAAACGGATTCAGCAGTTTAAGGGATAATGTTTTCGTGCATGTTGTAATAGACACCAAATTCAAGTTTCAATTTTTCCTTATAACAAAAATACTTTTACAAAAACACATAAAGCCATTATAAGTAGCAATCAGATGGGTATGTCTATTCTGTCCAACTAATAAGCATCTATCATTATAGCTTAACCAAGTTTACATTGATTCGAACTTAGATTCTTCACTCGACGCTACTTATAAGAGCCAGACAATCAATACAAATAAGTCTACACAGGAATATTTTAAAGTAAGGATCAACTGTAAGAAGTATTCTTCATTAGACAAACTCTCTTTACAGTAAACCCTACTTGATTTTGTTCACTTCTACTTAATATTATTTGCAATGATTCTACTTATTATCATTATTATTATGAAAGACTTGATCCGTATTTTCTTGGTTCTCGTTTCTTTCATAGATGCATATTTTTTTAGTTTATAGGTTAATTACATACCTAAAATTGATTATGTTCACCCTAATGATCGAATATTTCTTATATTATGTAATTGTTTGCTGGAAATTGTGCAATCAATTTTCTCCATTACAACCTATTATATTGATATTTTCAGAAGAAAAAATATAAATTTTTCCGAGACCATTAGTTTATTTCTATAATGTAATGAGATTAAGTTGATCTGAAAACAAAATGGTGTATTTGCGCCATACATTTCGAACAATCTGATTCCATATGATTAAGTGGATTTTGCAAATGAGACTGGTAAAGTGTTCCAGATATAAAATATGAATGATAAGTACTGAACCCTGTCTACTGAAACTGACCTAATGATTAAGTCTTTCTATCTATTAAATCATTAACTCATTTATCAGGTACAGATGAGTGCATTTGGCTTTGAGATACACTCTAATTGTCAAGGCTAGTGACAATAGGCATCTAACCAAATCGAATTAGATGCGGCAGTTCAGATCTGATACTTAGTGAGTCCAGAGCTTTGATCGCTGAGCCACCACAATGTGAGTGATTAAAACAAAGAGACGTCATATGGATTACAATCAGGAAACAATAATTGTTTAACTGGTTAGAGAGGATCCTCGGATGCAAAACTTAATTTGGGTTATTCTTAATATTAAAAAGTTGCAATTTTTGCCCACCGTAAACAACATTATGATTGGGTTATTGAGTTTTGAATTACAGTTTTCTATCCAGTAGGTCGTTTGACAGTCAAAAACATTGATTAATTCAGCGGCTGGCCAGATACCAATCAAACACACCGAACCAGGCATCTTAAATTACTGGCGATACCCCCACGATATTCAGATGGAGAAATTCCTAGTCACGCCCTTCCTGTTACATCACTACTGTTTTACAGAGTTACTTTTCTTCACACACGCATACCACTGCTCTGAAATGACACTAACTCATGGTCTGAAGTTTTCCTTAGCGCTTACATACAAGACAATATCAACCACATCTGGTCACACTGAGAAGAGCATTCATTCGGCAGAGAATAATTAGCAGGCCTTGTTCAACTTAGTCGATCCCCGATATAAGTTTTGAGCACAAGTGATTCTCAATAAATTTACTAGTTTTTTTTATTAACAATTGTGGTTGTATATTTGTACCAAATAAAATTGTTTGGAAATGTATTTAAGAATCTAAGTCATTGTCTACCGTGAAGTAAGATTATTTTGAAACTAGTAATGTACACAAGAGATGACATAATAATACCACGAAGGCTACAATCCATGAAGTTAACACCTATTGACAAGAAGCATGTTGGCTAACAAAATGAAAAACAGAAAATCGTCATAACTACTTTTCTCATTTGGTCTTTCATTGCAAAAGGTTATCTAAAGCAGAAAAGTTTACTCCTAATATTCTTAACTGAAAGACATGAGTTCAGACTACACAGGTAGAATGAACTTTATCGATGCTTTATGTACACCATATTAACGGTTCAAAGTAGGAGCAAATTGGGGACTAGTTTTGCAAAATGAACATATAGTATAGTGCATTTGCACTCTTTTAACAGATTTCCAATGAAATGAATATAAACACATAGGGTACTAACATGGAAAGAGAACATCAATTATCTGGTTCTATTAAAATTATATTTCTCTAACTGATGAATTCACAAAAGATGTGAAGAAAAAACAATAACAACAGTACAAATAAGTATTAGTTTCCACCATGCTTGAATCAGACGTGATTTACAACAATTAACAGTAGAGTCGTTTCTAATTTTATGCACGTTTAGAAAAACCAGGGCGTACAGGCATAACATAATTAGCCGCAGCTTGATATTGTAGTTGATAAGCCAAAGGATGTATTTTAAAGCCAAATAACCTGTTAAAAATGAAATAAATAAAAAAAACAGTGTAAAAATAAACAAAACCTATGCACTGAAATATGTTTACTGTTTGACAGAGCCTATATGACTTTTATAAACTCCCAATACTACAAAATAGTTGCCTGGAATATTTGAAGTTGTTGTGAATTAGTTACTGTTTCATGTACTAAATTTATAGACCATAGGTGATGTGTTAAAAACTATCCTATTGATTTTAAATTTTAATACCAAGTATTGTTGACCTGATAACATTCCCAATAGTTCAACCTTATAGAGGAGGTAATATGTTGAAGAGAACTACATTGTAGGAAAATTACGAACTACTCTAGCGTTGTAACATAATTTACATATTTAAGTGATGGAAACTTATTTCCAGTGATGATTTATAGATGAATAATTCTTTTTGAACTCAGTTACAATACTTTGTCAGTCTCTTATAGAGTTTATTACTTTGAAAACCGACATCATTTGGAGTTAATGAAGTGCAAAAATCCAAAACGCTATGTTGTTTTAATTTGGAACAGCTTGTGTGTTCGCACTATCGACCCCACATGGAAGTCAACTGAAAATAAAAAGTATTCGTGTATGTTAGCGGAATATAGACTGGATTAATGCACGTTCCGTGCACAATTGTATTGATACACGCTGACTGGTTATTTCTTATCCAATCAGCGATAGTAGATTCTTGGAGAAGACTCTAAAATCTCATGTAAAAACTATAAACATACTAACGATTTTCTTGTTCTGATTCCTACTTCCATCTACCCTTATTATCTGGAATATAATTTCGTTCCTGTTCAACCGTGTTCTGATTTAGGGAGTTGTCGAGTGAAGTAGTGTCAAAAAATAATAAGGAATAGGAATAGCTGGGTCGTAATAAGAGAAATTAAAACAGTGTGATAAGCTTTATGATTGAATTCCTACTTTAGAATGCCATCAAGTTAAAATACAATGCTATTATTACCCCATATTATCAGCGATTATGTAGTTCTACCCATTTATCCTTGAAGGATAAATCCTAAAACTTTCGATAGGATTTTAACATCTCGTTTAGGAGGTTTTTGATGTGGTGATGAGACGAAATTTTTTAATTGTTAAAATCATTGAATAGGATTATAATCGGCAGACGAACACAACGGCCAAGTGATCGAGTGATGATTACTTAAGAGATCGTATTATTGATGGTTAGAAATTAAAGACAAGACCACTAGTCAGATAAGTAGTTTCGCGTGTAATAAAATGTCATTATATCCAGAATATGAACACAAAATAAATGCAATCAAATATCACAGGTGATTGGAGGAGATTAGCTTGCAGGTTGCTCATTACCCAATCAAGACCTGGTTGTTAGGTCTAAACTTTTGGCATCGTATCTTAACTAAGTGAAAAGGAAATCTTCAGAGGACTATATATCTAAATAACTGTTGTATTAATTAACAAGCTTATTTTTATGAGACGGATAGTGAGTCACTTTGAACACAAACATTTTAACAGTTATTTGGATGAACATTACTAAATGAATAAATGATTTCAGGCTGAGGATAACAAAGTTCAGATAGCGTTTATTTAACAGCATAAGCAAACCAATTGCTGTTTATTGAATAACTATTTGAACTAATGCACACTTTATAAGTCTTGTTACTATTTGTTTCAATAGTTGGACTGAGCCATGTAGATATATGCAGACTACCTGGTCTGGGTCCGTGTGATTATTGTAACCGGTGGTTAGAGACTTGGAACGACACGAATCAAAATCGTTCACAATTGAACAGGTGCATCCACTGTTTTTCCTTAAATTTTAAGTTCCTAGACTCCTTATAAACTTATTTGATTATGTCACTAATTTATATTTTTCCTCTAAAATTGTATATTTCATGCCTAATCTTTTGTACTGTGAATAATACTGTTGATACCTCTACTACTCTGGGGTTCGCTCTGAAACTCATCTCGCTGTGCTAACGAGGTATGGAAAATTGAACCGATGCACACATATCCCAGGTTCTGTGTCCTGTTTGACTGAGTGACTGTTTTGTCTACCTTTGTGATAGCTACGTAACACAATACTGTGCTGCTGACTTCGAATTTAAACTTTTCCAGTTCGTATCGTTTTGTCTTGTTTGCATGCGGTTGGATTATTACTGATTCTAAAGTACTATTCAATTAATACATGTTAATGAGATGGTGGAGAAGATTTGTAGCTCAGGTGGATGATTTTGGTGGAGTTTTGTTCTCTGAGCTGGATGGTTTGGTCGTGGAGCTTTCGTCGTTCTTCTGAACGACGAAAGCTCCACGACCAAACCATCCAGCTCAGAGAACAAAACTCCACCAAAATACATGTTAATATCACGGAAGGAAATTCCTTGAAAACTTGACAGTTTTAACACGTTCAGCCACTCATTAAGTATTATTCAGACACTAGGTGTATAAACATGCAACAAGTAAAAAAAAACTTAGGTCGATTTTACGGCTGTTTCTTTGAAATTATGCAACAGCTGCCTTCGAGAATTATATAACTTGAAAGTTAACACTAAGTAATAAATTAAGTACTCAGAGATGAACAAAGTAAGACTGAATTCTCTTTTATTCATTTAACCAGAAATATATAGAATACGATCAAATTAACATCAAAGGATCCTTTAAGTACCATATGTATGAGAGGGATAGACAGTTTAGCATAACTCAATGAATGTTTCAGAGTATTAAAAACGAAAGTTTAGTGAAATCAAACATATACTCTACCATACATTTAAGAGTATTCGTAACCCGAAACAGTGGAAAGTTTCTAAAAACAGTTAATTTTATTACACAGATGGAGTTTCAGCAAGCATCAGTCAACAAAAAGCTGGTAACTCACCTATCAGGCACAGATCCATGTACTTGACTTCAAGTGACACTCTAAGCGCGAGGCCTAGAGGAACTACCCGGTCACTCAAAGCGAATTAGGTTGAGTTAGGCTCAAACTTGTGACTGAAAACAGGCGTTGGATTACGAAGTTGCATTATCTTATTTTTCTCCTAAGTAATTAATACACAATTTGTATAGCATATCAAAATACGTATAAACACTTCCTATAATAAAACCTACCTTGCAGTAAACTGTTTACTAGCTCGTTTTGGTCTGTACTCTGGATGAACTAAAAACAACATATGCGGAAAGCCAGTACCGAAATACGCTCCATCTGTATGATGATGACGAGTAGATTTCGGTGTATAGGTATCTTGACATCTAGGACAATATATCTTAACCATAGCTTCACCCGGAACGTCTGATAAACCGACTGGTAAACATGGTTGACTTTCACAGTAAACCTTTGATAGTAAAAGCATTAGAAAAAAGAATATTAATACCTTCGCATTTAGATACATTAAAGCAAACTTTTCCAATGTACTTGGAAACTGGTGAATAATCGGGATATCGCACAGAAGGATGAAATAAACACTCGCTGATTTATAGATCTAAACTACTATAAATTTCCTTGTAGTCGTATGTAAGATTATAACGATAACTAACGACTGGTGTTTGTGGTGGACTTACCTATTCTAATGACACAGGCTATTTGGAATTTTGAGATGGTGGAGAGGGCGAGGACACACTGCAGCACACTGGCAGCACGAAAAAATGAGAAATACCTGAAGGATTATTATTTATTTTATTTATTTGAACACATAAATATCGGTACAAGGGGGCACCAAATATAAATGCGCCACACGAAACAATGAGAATGGGGAAATGAACAATAATAGCCAGATCAGAGTAAGGAAGTGTAATAATAATTATTAATTAATAATAATAATAATAATAATAATAATAATAATAATAATAATAATAATAATAATAATAATAATAATAATAGGGGAAACGGAAAGGTACAACCAGAAGAAATCTTTCAGCTAAGGAAGATACAACTTTTCATGAAGAAAGTACAAGAATGTTACAGCAAGATCGCCACTGGCTTTAGTTCTGAAACATGTTTGATAACATCTGTAGCCACTGTGTCGCATCATCTCTTGGACCCCAGCCAGGGAGTCGTGAAGGACCAACACAAGCCAGTGTTGTTGCTACCTTGACGTGGTGGTCGGGCTTGCCTATCGTGATGAAGCAACCGAGCTATACTGGCTGGAACAACCGTTCCTCAAGGTCCTACCATGTCGGACAGGTCAGTTGAAGAGCGGTAAGACTAAAAGCAACAAACCTAAGGTCCGAAGGCGAAGTCGTCCTGCTGATTGTACAGAGGTGTGACAGCAGTAAGGTGTTCACTTCAGACAACCAGCATGACAGCGATGCTACTTTCTCACAAGGAGGGGTGGGGTTAGAAAAAGTCGACCCTAAAGATGCACACCCCGCCTTATCCCACGGATATCCGTCTCCGGCGGTAAGGTCTCAACAAGTACGGAGCTAACACAAAAATTACCCATAAAAAGGTCGTGTGTGACCGACCTCAAGCAGTTGTCCCTTGGGCACTGCGGTCACGCTCTCCGGTCAATAAGACCACCTCTAATCCAATTTCCTTTTCAGGTACCTCCAGAAGAACCCTTCCTCGGTGTGAGCAACCGGGAAGTGATAACCGCCCTCATACCTCTAACAGCGCTCAAGACCACTGTATTCATAATCAACCTCCCTCTTCAATTCCTATTATTCCTCCTACATCGACTTTCAACTCTAAATTTCCTCTTTCGGCTTCCTCCTCAAGTGTCACCATAGCCAACGATTCTAGTGCTCAAAACACTGTCCCAGGTCTACTGAAACCTCGCTCCAAACTACACATTAGAGCCTTCAACGTACGAACCCTATGTCAAATCGGTCAGCAGGCTTCCTTGGCTAAAACCCTAGAGTCTCTTACCATTGATGTATGCTGTGTCTCCAAAACACACATACAGGATTCCAGTGTGGTCATTCACTTGACCTCACCTCGTCAAAACGGAGAGCCAACGAGATACACCCTCCATGTATCTGGTGACCCGATGGCCAGTTCTCGTGGACTGGCAGGTGTAGGCATAGCACTAAGCATGAGGGCCGAACAAGCACTGCTAGAGTGGATTCCCGTCAACAGTCGTCTATGTGCTGTTCGGCTAAACGGCTCCGTAAGAACTCGGGAGGATAGGGACACACGTCGTTGCCTTTTTGTCGTTTCTGCCTACGCTCCCACTGACTGCAGCTCAGATGATATGAAAGATGAATTTTACAGAAAGTTTTCTGAACTTCTTCAGAAAGCTAAACGCTCAGACATAGTGTAGTGAAGAAGAACACGGGTGAGGACAGCCAAATTGTATTTAGGGCAAATTACAGAATTACTTGGTAAAATAGGAAAACCATATAGTAAATCGTTAATTTGCAAAATGTCATTCTATCATATCCATTGTCTCGCATTTCATTGTTCATGCGATTTCTTACAAAGTCCACTGTTTTCTCGCTCTTCTTTTCTTGATCTTCTCCATCTTCTGCTGCCAGACATTACGTTCTTTTGACTCACGTTATATACTACTTATATCAATATAAGTAGCACGCACCACACTCGTCCCCCCTTTTAACAAGTTGCTGTCGTAGTCTTTCTGATCTCCGTACCGCTGTGTTCTTTGCTGCTTTTCGTGATTCACACCCATGATGATCTTGAAACCATCTCTGTAGTTGACTAGCATTTACGCGCTTCTGCTTGTCTTCTCTCCGGATCGTGTAGACCGAGTCGCGTCTCTCCGTGATAACATACGGTCCTTCCCATTTTGGGGCCAGCTTCCCCGACCCTGCTCCCCCTGCTATGTTACTTTTTCGTTCTCTACACTTTACTAGGTCCCCCACTGCAAAGGGTTTCCACGTTCTTCTCTGTTGTTCTGCCTTCTTTGTGTCTGATATTTGTTTCTTTTCCACGTTCCTTATTGCCTCTCTCCTCTCTTTTCTTAACCTTGTTGTCGTCCACCTCTGTTGTTGTGGCCAGGTCTTATTATGCATTGGAAGTCGTGGTTGTCTGCCATACATGAGCAAGAAAGGTGACTTCTTGGTTGTTCCTTGTGTTGAGGAACGATGTGCCAGCAAAATCAATGGTAACTCTTTCTCCCAATTTCCTCCTTTTGATGCTAACCATTCCTTTAACGTCCGATTGTTTCTCTCTGTAAGCCCGTTTGTCTGAGGATGATATGGTGTAGTTCGTATTCTCTTGATGCCAAACTGCTTTAAACGGGCTTTAAACTCGTCACTTTCAAAACAGGGACCCTGGTCAGTTAATATCATCTTCGGTATTCCGTGACACGCTACAATATGCCGGATTACCACCTCGGTCACTGTCCTTGCCCGCTGGTCTGCAATGGGTACGGCATCTACCCAACGTGTGGCATGTTCCGTCATCACTAACAGATACTGGTTACCGCTCGCCGTCTGTGGAAACGGTCCCATCACATCAACCGACCATAGATCACCGACTGCGGTTACTGGGATTGACTGTAATGGCGGTTGTGTGTATCGATCGCTTTTCATTAGCTGACACTGCTGGCAGGTTAACACGTATTCAGCCACATCGTCTCTCATGTTCGGCCAGTATGCACTTTGTCGTAGTAAGTCCGTCGTTCTTGCGATGCCTGTATGTGCTACCTGGTGACACTCGTGTATCACTTTACGCCGCCAGTCTTTCGGGATCACCGCCACCCAATTTTCATCATCGTCCTGCCAGGTCAGCACTCCATATGAGTTCACTCTCAGTCGATCCTTTTGCCGAAGCAGCGTTATTACCTCTTTGTCCATTGTTCGTTTATCTACGTCTTCTCCCTCTTTTATCACTCTGATTACCTCTCGAAGGTTAGGGTCAGCTTTCTGCTGCCGGACGAGTTCTAATGGGTCTCCCTCTAAACTATTCACCGCGTATGCTGTTAATGGCAGGTCGGCTTCCATGTCTGGTCTTGACAAGTAATCTGCCATTACGTTTTCTTTTCCTGGAACATGGCCGATACTGAAATCGTATTCTTGCAGGCGTATCATCCATCGCGCCAACTTCCCTCGGGGGTCTCTTGCTGTTTTCAACCACTGCAGGGGTTTATGGTCCGTCTCAATGTGAAATCGTCTACCTAAAAGGTATGGTCTCCATTTTTCCACTGCCCACACGATCGCTAAACACTCCTTTTCGATGGTTGAATACTTCTGTTCAGCAGGTGTGAGGACGCGACTCGCGTATTCCACCACTCTATCAGCCTGACTCAACACAGCACCTATACCATGATCACTCGCGTCTGTGGCCACTGTAAACAGTCTTCCCGGTTCAGGCAGTCTAAGCGTCATCTGGCGATCGTCTAGCATGTTTTTGATTCGGTTGAACGTTTGTTCGGCAGTCTCAGTCCACGTAAACTTGGTGCTGCTCAATAACTTATATAAGGGTGCTGCTATTTCGTTGAAATTTTTGACAAACCGACTGTAGAACGCCGCTCTTCCCAGGAACTGTCTCAACTTCCTTTTCGAATTAGGTACTGCAATATTTTTTATGGTAAGAATTTTCTCCGGCAATGGTTTTATTTCTCCATTTCCCACTTTATGTCCCAACAATGTGACGCTACTTTTCGCTATCTGCGACTTGTCCTTATTAATCCGAAGTCCAAATTCGTCAATTCGCTTTAAGACCGCTTCCACATGTTTGATGTGATCTGTTTCTGTTTGACTGTACACAACTACGTCGTCGCCATATACCTCGACATTATCTAGATTCTTGAGCAGTAGTGTCATTAATCTTCTGAACGTGAACGGTGCACCCGCCAACCCGAACGGCATTCGTTTAAATTGATACTGTTTATCCCGTACAGTAAACGCTGTCTTGCTCCGATCACTCTCTTTTATAGGCAGTTGCCAATAACCTGACCGTAAATCCAGCACTGTAAACACCGTGGCATTCTGTAGCCGATCTAATGTTTCCACCACTGTTGGCATTGCACAAGGCTTCAGGTCTGTTATATTATTCAATTCTCTGAAGTCGACACAAAATCTATACTTTCCATTTGGTTTCTTTACCAAGAGTACCGGCGAGCTATATGGGCTGTCCGCTTCCTCAATTATACCTTCTTTTAACATTTCCTGGACCTGACGATTTACCTCGGCCTCTAAATGCACCGGGACACGACGTGTTGCAAATATATTTACTCGACTGTTCTTTATCGGTATTTCGTGCTTTACTCTGTCACAAAATCCATACGGCTCCCCATCTCCAGTGAATAGTTTCGCATACTTTTTGCATAACTCGTGAATGTTTGGTTTCTTTGACGAGACATCCGCTGCAACTCTTATTTCAGCCACTTCGCTACTTTCGTGTATTGTCAATGAACCATATTTCGTGACCACC